CATGACAGGCATGCACCACACGCCCACCTAAGTTTTGTATTTTTAGTAGAGACGGGCGCTTCCCGTGTTGGCAAGGCTGGTCAAACTCCAGACCTCAGGTGCCCCCGCCTCGCCTCCCAAAGTTGCTGGGATTACATGTTGTGAGCCACCAACCCAGCCCATCCTCTGGAACTTCTTCGTCTTCCCAAACTGGAACCTCTGGTTCCTGTTTAAATGGTAACTCCCCCCCAAACAATTTCCTCCTCTCTAGGCCCTGGCAGCTACCATTCTACTTTGTTTTTGAGATGGGGAGTTTACTCACTCTGTCCGACCATGGGCTGGAGTGCAGTGGCGTGATCATTGGCTCGCACTTGCCAAACTTCTGCCTTCCAGCTTCATGATTCTCTTTACCTCAGCCCCCCTGGAGTAGCTGGTTGGATTACAGGGCATGTGCCACCACACCTGGCTAATTTTTATATCTTAGTATAGACGGTAATTTTTATATCTTTAGTAGAGACGGGGTTTTGCCATGTTGGCCAGGCTGGTCTCAAACTCCTCACCTCAGATGATCTGCCCTCTTCGGCCTCCCAAAGTGCTGGGATGACAGGTGTGAGCTGTTGCACCCAACCTGTGGATGCATTTTTAATACCGTCATTCAATATGAAGAGATTTTCCATTTTATTATAGTTGACCCCAGGAAGAACTCACCACAAAGTCCGTAGTCTGCAGACTGGGTGCCTCAGTCCCTGGCACAGTAACCTCAGGCCCAAATCCTCCAGTGCATTTCCTGTCAGGTCCAACTCAACCAGATAGATTTAGGGTTGGTGCTGAGCACAGAAGCCAACTCTTGGAATGCAAGCCCCGGACTCCAGCTGACCACTTCCTCAACCGTTGGAGGGAAAGACGAGGTTGAAAGAGGGCGCGCCATCGTTGCTTCTCTGTGTCCTGACTCACTCATCGCCCAGCCTGTTTATCTTATTATTTGATGATTCGGAAAAGGTTCTTGCTCTGTCACCCAGGGTGAACTCAGCGTGTGATAGTCAAACTCGTGAAGCGCTCTGACCCCTCCGGGCTCATGTGATCCTCCTGCCCTCAGCCTCCTGAGTAACTGGAATACATGTGTGCACCACCGTACCTGCCTAATTTTTTTTTTTTTTTTTTTTTTTTTTGAGGTGAGTCTCACTCTGTCACCCAGGCTGGAGTACAGTGGCATGATCTTTTCTCACTGCAACCTCCACCTCCTGGGTTCAAGTGATTCTCGATACCTCAGTCTCTCAAGTAGCTGGGATTACAGGCTGGGACTACAGGTGCCCACCACCATGCCCAGCTAATTTTTGCATTTTTAGTAGAGATGGGGTTTCACCAGTTGGCCAGGCTGGTCTCGAACTCCTGACCTCAGGTGATCTGCCCACCTTGGCTCCACCCAGTGCTGGGATTACAGGCCGTGAACCCACTGCTTCTGCGCTATACTGGCTGATTAAAAAAAAAAAATTGTAGTCGCGGGTGCAGTGGCTCACGCCTATAATTCCGCACTTTGGGAAGCTAAGATCCGTGGACTCATTTGAGGTCAGGAGTTCAAGACTAGCCTTTGCTAACATGGGAAACCCCATCTCTTACTAAAAGTACAAAAAAGTTAGCGTGCGGTAATGTGGGGTAGGTGCCTGTCATCTCAGCCTCCTTGCGAACGGC